GCTCGGTAAGGATGTAAGTCCTAATAGCATCTTTGAAAACGCAAATCTCTCGCTCACCTTCTATGTGGTTTTCACTAATCCAGGATAACATCGCGGATGTAGTACAGGCATCAACTTCAATATGGTCCCTTTGAAGCGTGGTCTTCGTTCCATAACAAGATTTTTTAACACTGTAAGAGGATAGGTACGCATTTGCAGTCAGCACACACCGACTGGAGGGAAATTGTTACGGCAAAATCAATTCAGGTCCCCAAACTTGAGGCAAGTGCGCAAAAGCTTCATCGTTTTCCTCTTTCAGTTGATAATTATTGTTTTTCTCAGTTCATGCATTATAATAGAGACGTTACTCTTCGAAGAGTTCTCCTTCCTTGCTAATTCGTACTTGTAGAATGGAATAAGTTGCTTTCAAATAACGAGGTTTCAGATTTCCTGTCTTTCAGCGCGAATGGGTCAACGATTACAACTAGAAGTTTAGTTCCAGTGTAGAACAATGGAAGGCGAGGTAAGCAGTTTGTTTTTCAATTAAATCGTTTTCAAAAGCCAACCCCAGCTGCCTAGACAATGTTAAGCTGTTCATACCGGAGTAGAATATATGAATTAAGGTTATTAAGAGGTGTTACTGGTTCCAGGTTCCACTAGGAGGAAATGAAGTTGAAAATTTACTACAAGAATTGTACAGTTACAGTCAGTTTCGAGTACTGTTTCTCTCACGTTTTCATCACCTTTTCTACTGAACTTCCCAGCTGCTGGGCACCAGGATCGTGGTTCACCGTTAACTTTTACCAGGACACTGTGTTTTGGTAAATATAAGTTGACGTCAACATCCATTCGTGATCGTTTTCAGGTTTTGTGAAAAGGGGGAGTTCTACTGGGTCTGTTTGGCTTTGCATCCCGTGTTTCCTATATTTTAGGTTCAGCTATGTAAGTGTCAATCGAATCATCGCATTCTCATCCTTTTTGCCATTTCTCAGCTTCTAGTCCGTCATACAGTGCACATGCCCTCAGATGCAATTTGACAAGTGGCATTTTTTGTGACAATGTGTGGCAGATGATCATAGTCACTGTGTTTGGCAGAGTAGAGGCAGCTACTTATCCCTATTTTTCTTGATCTTTCATTTTACTTTCTTAGCGATTGCGTAGAATAGCTCTCTGAAGTTACTGTTCCTTCCTCTATGCGTATGAATTATTCAGTCATCGAGTATCGCCGACATGATTCGCGATGCAGCCAACGAAGTGTTACATTCACGTGTTCCCGAAGGATTTCAATGGATAGAGGCCTATGGGCAGTATTACTCACCCAGTTGTGGTTTCTTCTACGATCCGGTGTGTTTGAAAATACTGCATTCAAACGGAACTCTTTTTTGCTATTATTTAGCCTTTTCACTGTTACCAGGGTGATTTTCTGCTAGAAACCACCCTTTAGTGTAGTTCTTGTAGTGCTTCTCGTTTGCTCAGAGTCGTTTTGTTCAGAATACTGGCCTTTTTTATCACAGTGATTCCGAGACGTATTATATATTTAACGACGATACCCAGCAGTATGAGATCTATAAGTGTATGCGAAAGAGTGAGTTTTTGTTAATCCAGTTGAACTATTCTTCAGAGAGTATACGACTTTGCTTTTTTTTTATTGATTTTGGCCATTATACGTCCCAGATTTCCAGAACCATTCTCAGATTAGTAGGCTAAAAATAGTTATGGAAGAGAGTAATTCGAGTTTCTTTGTTCCGAAAAACGCTGACAGCTAACTATGGAGCTCACATGCTTCTATATTATGGTTCATAGCTCGATCGAAGTGCTTTGATGCTTACTCAACCAGTTGCTCTTTTTGTTTTCGATAGTTTTTTCCTTCCCTACCGGAACAAGCCTTACTTACTTGCTTTGGATTATGTATAAATTTTTCTTATTATACTACTATAAATTGTGAATGCGCATTGCTTTACCTTGGTCTTTCTTCTTTCTAGCACATTGGAAATCTCGTTCGAATAAAATGAAAGCCAAGCAATTGTTTGCTGGTGCGCTGGATCGCTTAGATCAAGATGCTGTAGACGTTTGTGAAGTTGTATTCGATCTCACATCAAAGCTCAGCTTAGAAGACAGAGATGGTGTGGATTCTGAATTGGAAACGCACTCTAGCCTATCCTCTTCGGTGAGATGAATTTTCTTTCTTGTCCCCAATGACTTTTAATTATTGTAATCTTAATACGGGAAGTGCAGTCATTCAAAAGACACCGTCTACGTGATTAGACTTGATCCATTATAAGTTTGAAGTAAGTCTTGAGCACTGTCTATGGTTACCGCTGGTTTCGGTCAACGAAATGGAATATATTGAGCTGCTCACCTGAGGTTTAAAACTATCATCATTTCCTGTTATTACTTTCAGAGAGTGAACGATCGCCTGGACACTGAAACGTCCCCCGTGGAATACTTTGACGAAGCAACAGGCGAAATGATTTCC